CAGTCCAGGGAGCTCATCTCTGCAGTCCAGGGAGCTCATCTCTGCAGTCCAGGGGCTGCCCCCTCTCCATGAAGGCAGAGGCCCAAGCACTGTACTGTAAGTCCCCTTTTCCTTGAAATTCCCCCTCTTTGTGCTGCTTTTCCCACCCAGTCCCACCTGACTCCACAGCCAGAGATCCTCTTGGGCAGAGGGGGAGGGACGACCTCGGGGTTGTTCTCCAGGAGAGCAGGGATGGTGGAATTCTTCCCCAGGGACTGTGTTTGAGACACCGAATCCTCTGCTGAGAAACAGCTCCTCAGTTGATGGTTTTTCACCATTTTCTACCACTCACGTTGGGTTTTCCATGACATAGGAAACTTCAGGAACCAGGAAGGGCAGTCTTGGCCCAACCAACTCATTTTTGACTGAGCTGAAACCCCTCCCAGCATTTCTGAAAGGAAAAGAATAATGAAACAATGCTTTTTAAACGTTTTCTCTATAATATTTATACCCACCCCTCTTACCTTCTAGAAGAAAAAGCCAATTATGAGAGTGAGTTTTGAATTTCCACTGCTGATTTAAACTGTTGTGTTTCCTGTGCCTGGTCCACCCTGGGGGTTCTGTGCATTCCACATCACATTTGCAACCTGCATTTCTGTTGTGCCACTATTTTATGGTCAGGCCTGTTATTAAATGATTTTTAAATGCTTAAAAAAAAAACAAAACAAACAAACAAACAAAATCTTGGTAAATCAATTGTATTCCAGTTTTGCAAAATGATTTTCTTCTCAATAAATTTACAGTATTAGGCTGCTATTCAGAATTCTAACATCTGGGACAGTTTGTTTTCTATTCTTCAGTCCATGGTCATGATATAACTTGGGTTTTGTTGGGGTTTTTTTTTCCTTCTGAGAATTATGAACTTCTTTTCTGTGGCAGAAGATTAAACTGTCCAACCCCCTTCCCAGTCTGGCACGATGTGACAGGGTGGCAGCAGCTCCTCCTGGTCCTCTGGGACACCCCTGAAAGCTGGGATTGTGCAGTGTGGTCTCTCCTAAGGGACATATTCCAGCAAGGAAAGGAAAATGGGTGCTAGGAAAGGCAGGGAATTCCAGGCTGGGATTTGCTGTGGCTTCTTCATTCCCAGATTTGCATCCTTGCACACCTTGGGCACCGCCAAGGAATGTGCTCAGGAACGTGTTCCCTCCTCCCTGCCCGGGCTGGAAACCAAAGGGGATGGTTTGGGGCAGCTTTGCAGGATTCAGTGACTTCAAGGGTTGGGTTTTGTCGCTAAAACTGCTTTGGAGAAGAGCAAAGAGAAACCCCACCAGTTTTGGGGTTGGGTTGGATGTTCTGGGAAGTGGGACCGAATTCCCCCTGTTTTTTTCACTCCTAAAAATCATCCTGCAGGCAAAGTTGGGCTGGATTTTCGTCAGGAGAAGGGGGAAGGGTGGGCAGTGGGGGGAGCTCACGTTTTCCCACTTTCTGCTTTTTTAAATTCCTTTCTCCTGAGAGCTGGTGCAGCCAGAAATCCAAGGAATGGACAGAGGGACCCCCCGAGCAGCCAAACTGTGCCAACCCCCCGTGACCCTGAGCTGGAACCCGTGAGGAGCTGCAGTCGTGGCTTTTGTGGGACTTCCTGCTGGTTTGACCTGGACAAAAGTGGGTTTTGCTGCTGTTCACAGCCTCAGTTTTGCAATTTTACCTCCAGGTTTCCTGGGAGGGACAGTCCAGGGGCAGCTCTTGGCGGGAGGTCACTTTGTCCTCGTTTGTCCTGCAGGTTCCCGGGGAAACTGGGAGTTAAAAACTCTGGGATGTGCCGTGTTTGTGCCTTGCAGAACAGTCCCGGGGCTGGGCGCTGGCACAGCTCAGGGCTTGCAAAACCAGAGGCTGAGACAACAGATTGCAAAACACTTCCCAAGCTTTTGCTTTTCCAGAGGAAAAGCTCAACTCAAAGGAGCCTTTTCCCCGAGCGACCCGAAGCAGGGCCGTGAATCAAAGTGTTTGTGGACTTTCCCTATAAAGGAAAACACTGGAATGTTTTCATCTCCCTGTTTAAACGTCTCCTGCAGCCTGGGAGAATTATTTCATGCCTTAATTACCAGGTAAACAACTGGGATAGAGCAGGAGATTCGTTAGAAAAGGGCTGTTGTGAAGGAGAACTCACTATTTAAAGGCTTTCCAGTGGTGGTTCCTTGAGCTGCCCTGTGATTAAATTCAGTGCATTATGGTCAGATCAGTAAATATCCTTGTTCTGCAGGTGTGGAACTGAGAGCCCTGCCTGGAATTGTGGAAGGGAGCTCCGGGTCATTCCCAATCCGGGATCATCAATTCCCTTTTCACTTCCTTTTACATTTTCTGCCCAATTTCCTCCCCGAGGTTTTTCAGTCAGTGGATGGCAAATATTCCAATAAAGGAGATGAGAATCAGGCACCTCCTTGTGGTTCAGCTGAAGCTACAAAAAGCAGGAATTCCACAAATATCCCTTGGGAAATCTTCCACAAATATCCCTTGGGAAATCTTCCCTCCTGTCCCGGCGCGTTCCCGGCGGTTTCGGCCGCGCAGGGAACGGCGTGGACAGAGTTCCCCTGGAGATATCCCGGGATACTGAGACATAAAATTAGTTCAGCCTGAAAAAGGACTCCTCCCGAGGCAGCCCAGGCACGGAGGGGTCAGATTTCTCCTGAGCCTTGGATGTCATTAATAGTGCAAAGGTCTCCAAACCTGGATCTTGTGTAACCAACCCTGGGACTCCTCGGGGGAAGTTCCCTCTGTGCCCTTTCCCGCAGCACCTGGAGGGAGGAAAACGCTCCAATGGCAGCCCAGGGAGGCCGGATTTGGGATGAGCTGCACCCTGACCCCGTTCCCAGGAGCAGGGGAGAGGAGATCCCGAGCCTTGGGAAGAGGGAGCGCCCGGGAAGCGTGTTGGTGGTGTGGAACTGCCCCTTCCAGGCGCAGGTTTGTGCTGGGAAACGATTCCCAAAGGAAACCTGGGGGTGTGGCAGAACACACCAGGGCACCCTGAGTGCCCCTTAGGAAGCAAATGTTTGGGAATCTAAGAGTTGCTAATCCATAGGAAAATTCCCTCTTGGCCCGAAAGCTTGTGTCGTGCTCCGTGAAAACTGAAGCCCTTTGTTACTCCCAGAAAACAACAGGATTTTATGATGCTCGTGGATTTTAATTTACATTCCATAATCCATCCACTGCCTGCTGTTCAGGGAAAAAAACCCTCCAGGAATGCCGTGGGATTGTCACAGCAGATGAACCGGTGGTTTGAGTGAATTCCAGCAGATGTGACCCGGGATCTGGGGCTGTCACAGCTCGGGGCTTTTCCCACCCTGCAGAGAAATCCTTCCCCGGGGGCTGCGACTTAACCCGGGGAGGGTTTGGGGAGGCTGAGCCAGGAGGTGGCAGTGGAGCTCGTCCTGCTGGGATGGAGGGGATGGAGGGGATGGAGGGAGGCGGCTCCGGCGGGATCCCTGTTGGAACCTGTTCCTCATTAATTGCTAATTACAGAA